ATTTTGGTGTGTGTTTTTTTGGTTTGGTTTTTGTTTGTATTCTACTCAGAAAATTTTGTTATAAATTCTACCCTGAACTTTTCCCTGTAAAGGAATTTCAAGATGATAGATCTGAGAGGTGCCACATCTCTGTCTCGCACAGCGAACACATCTGATGCCCTGGAGCGGGGAGAGGAGCCTCAGCACTGCTCCACCATTCCTCATCTAAGTCCATTGCTGAGAAACACTGGAGAAAAAAGCGAGATCAAGGGAATCAGTGCATTTGCCATCCTGAAAGGTGAATACTGATCAACGGCATTTATGAATGATTTAGTATTCAGAGTGCATTTGGGACTCTCTTGTCATGTCATCTATCACGGGCACACAGAAAGAAAGACACAAACTAGAAAATTAATCCTTTATATCTAGCTTTATCAGGTACAATGTGTCACTGCTGTGGCTCAGCCGAACTTTATAAAACACATTCTGAAGCTACCACGGTATGTCAGTAGCAATACCTTCTATCTGGGAAGAAATTTGTGTAAACATTACATTCCAGACACCAGCTTAGGAGAAGGGTAAGGTTGGTACCTCTCCTTTAACATATACCCACTTCTCTTCCCTCCTTGGTACTCTGAAATCTGAAGTGATGGACTACCTTTTAATAATAAAATAAATTAAAGAGTAATTTCTACTTAAAAGAGAACTGGGATTATATAGTAAGAGCCTTTAAGGTCACCATGTCATGCATGGCTTTCAAGACCAACTGACAGGCCAAAGGCACAGCTGCTAACGTAGCTGTTCCGTCACCTGGTTTAAAAGTTCAGCCAAGTTAGAAAAGTTTTATCTGTTACTGCTCCCTTTTGCTGTAGTAATGACTCCTGATGTCTGCAGTCTCTGTCTTCTGAGAAGAAATAAAGCTTATTTTTTTTAATGTTCCGGACACAACAGTGTGACTACAGAAAATGTTCTCTGCCCAGATAGGAAATTTCCTGTGTTCGCTCCTGAATACTATCGAGAGAAACAAATGTTCTCTGATCTGCATTTCCTGCAGGGAGATGGCTCAATATATCTATTATATTTGAAATTAATGCACATACCTGCTATGTGCATTAATTAATATTCCTCATTACATTTTGTAGAAATATGTTTTCTCAATGACAAGAAGAAAAGGTGCTTTGGAGGGTGCCACCTACCAATGCATCCACAATCAGCCAGCTCCTGGACTCAGTTCCTTCTGTCTTGTTGGGCTGGTGAAAGAAGGGCAAGGTTTGCCCTGTCAGGCATTTTACTGCCCAACAAAGGCAGCAACTAACAACCACAAGGACTGGAGACATATTAATGGATTTCTCAAGAGAAGACAGCATAACCTTTGGGCTAAGCAGAGCACCACTTACGACAGCACAGAAATTCCCGTTTTATACCCACTGTTAGACTTCTGAGACTGCCAGAGAAAGTGGTTGGTTTTTATGACATGGGTAACAGTTCATTTAGACCTGAAACTCAAGACTCCAAAACTTACTTCACAGGCAGAGCTTCCTTCACAGGGAGCAGACTGTTTTTTTTATGAGCCTTCCTCCACGTTAACTGCTTTTTCAGCCTTTCAAGCGATTGCATGGGTAGAGTTGGCAAGGAGGCAAATACTGAGCATGACTGGCTGCGTGGGTAAGGGGCAAGGGCAGCTCTCCCTCTGCTGCTGTCGCCACCTCTGAAGCAATCACACGAACAAGCCAAGCACAGAGCACAGCCCAACACATCTGTGACCTACAAGAAGAACATCGCAGCAGGCAGCACCACGCCCAGATGCACTGCTGGCCCTGGTGAGACGTATGGGTGGGTCAGCACAGGATCTGCAGGTGGGGCAACAAGGGGATGATGCTTGCTGAAAGGAAGGGAGGTGGTGTGGGGCAGCTGGTATGTGCACAGAAAGGCAACAGCCTTGTTTTGGACACTGCACACTGTGACCCAAGTCAGCAGCAAGGCAGCACCTTTGCCATAGCATTGGCTGAATCAGTCCTGGCTGCTGGCATCTGCACCCTGTTGGACATCGCCCTGTTTTAGCATCACCAGTCTCACGAATCTTTTTCTCCATCAGGCATCCAAGCAGCCCAAGCTACCCCATGAGACAAGGAAAATCAGCAAGATCTGCTGGGAAGAGAGCAGGCAGACCTTACCACAAGGATTCCCTTCCCTCTTACACCATGACTACAACTCAATCCCTGTGTAGAGGCATGGGAAGTGGCACACTTCTGTTGATGACTGCTACACATCGTGCAGGACAGCCAGGAGAGCTCTCAGTTCAAGCACTGGCTGTGCAGCTTTCGGGAACCAGGGAACCTACCCCTTGCAACAGGCCTACCACATCCTAAAGCCTCCAAGAAATTCATTTCCAAATTGCAGCTGCTGCTAACCACACAGCACCAAGACCACTAAGGCACAAAGACTGCCCAAGCACATTTGCCAGCCCTACCACTTTCTGAATGCCAAAAGCTGGCGAGCACTTACAGGAATCATCAGGCAGCTATCAAGTGATCGTGTCTTTGGGTTGCACTGTCCTGTAACAGATTTGTATGGCTAACATTCGAGAAAAGTTCAAGAGATGGACTTTGAAATGGCTTGAAGCCTAAATGTAAAGGCATATGAGCAAACACGAAGATGTAGAAAACAGATTCTAGCCACTCAGAAATTATAAACGCCCAGCTGTAGGTACGGTCTGCTAGCTGGAAATCACATTTGAGTGGTACACAGCATCACCACAACCACGGGCAATCATGATTTTCTCACCAGTTTGCTTGTTTCCTGCCTTCTTCCAGCTACAGTTGCACTTGTACACAACACGGTGAGGAGAGAGCACACAGCAGCGCAGAGAGCAAGAGCTCCAGCTCAGAATACATCCTGCTACCACCCTTTTTAATTACTATTTGCAGTTCAAGGCTGCACAGATTACCTCCACCCACACAAGGTAATTTGAACACTTTTATTTCGTATAACTATGTACTGACATGATGTTAACAGTTGCAATTTCAAGGAGTAAAATCCTTAGAACTTCAGTTAGAGATCAAGCAGAAAATCTCAGACCTTTCCCTCTGGTTTCACAGAATATGAGAGCATGAAAACAACATCTGGAGGTCCTTCTAGACCCACCTCCTTCTGGTTGGAACTGGGGAGCCCTTTTCAAAGAGATTCTTAGTTGCCACGTTCTGAAACTGCTTTGTCATTAAAATCAGAATAGAAAATTGTCTGTTATTACCCAGAATTAAATGAGAATGGACTGTTTTGTGCACCAAAAAGTGAAACCGAGAGGCTGTCCAACGTAACACAAAGCAAAACAAGCTTGTTATCCGATGATACTACTATCAATATTCAGCATGGTCCTGCATGAAAAGTTATCTGTACAATATACTTACAAATAATATGCTGCATGAGCTGACAAACAGACAAAACTCAGCTGTTAATTCCATACAGTAGGCTTAGATAGGCTTATTTGCTGTGGTCCGTTTAACCAGAGAGGGAACACAATGTAATGTAAGTCAATGAGAATTACAACTACAACTGACCAGAATGCCAAACTGCAACAAAAATACAGCTTCTGCTTTCAGGAAACTCTGAACCAGAAGTAACATGTTGCCAAGAGAATGGTGAAAGAAGTAAAATTAATGCATTATTATAGAACTAATATCACACACAGTAATACTACGTGATGAGAGGTGAGTTGGGAGCAAGTCACCTCTTCGGTTCCTTCTGAGATATGATTTACCTCCAGTTGAAGACTCCAGGCCAGAATTTCAGGGAGAGTGAATTGCTGTTGCTACACTGGAGTCATTACTTTCAATTCGCTGAAATGCCCGCTTTCAGGTTGTGGCTTTTAATATGCTCCAACTTGCTTTGTTCCAACCAGACTGGGTAGGAAATCTGCGTTTCATTGCAAAGGTACGGACCTGATTCTCATCTCTACACAGGTTTTACCCTTCCCTGACTTTTCAAGGATTCACAATGGTAAACAAATTGGTCTTTAACATTAAAATGAGGCTTTTTCATTTACTTCTTTTAACTCTCACTTTAGGTCAGTCCATCACAGCTTACGAAAGCCCTATTATGGAGACTGTGGACTAGTCCATGCCTACCATGAATGGGTTGGCTGCCAGCTCATCTATACCAACACAGCCTGGTAGAGACACTAAAATGCAGGTAAGTGGTTCATTATTTGTAAATCAGTACTGTAAATGGAGGTCAAATTTTTAATAGCTACGCTGGTGCTACAACTGATAAAGTTAAATTCTTAACATTTCTACAGTTAAGATTGTTTAGTGCCTTAAAATAAAAATGAAAGCATATAAAAATTAGAATAATGTCTAAGAACTAGAAACTGCTGTTTTGCATGTTGTCAAAAAATGCGTAAGTATGCTTTTGAAGTGTACTTTTCCTGCAAATAAATGCAATGCAAATACTGGGTCCCATAAGGCCTGGTTTATAGCCCTTACCCTAAAAAGCAGTCCTAAGGATTAGCATAGTTAAGCACGTACTGTAATGTAGCCTGTTGTATATTCATTCACAGTGGGTATAATTCTCAGAGATATTATGAAACCCAACAACAGCCCTTGTATGTAAATGGAGAGTTCCACTAGCTTGTGTTTAAAGGTATCTATAATTACAAATAATTGACACGTATGAAATATTTACATATTTTAAAATTGCTGATTGTACTATAAGCCACAATAAAATATATTATTTCAAAACATAAAACATCTTTGGATTTTTTTTTTAATTCTTTACATTTTAACTTTCATACTCCTAAGCAATATTTTTGGTAAATACATTCATTTTCAAAAAGTATGTCACTAGTAACATTAGAGAGACTTTCTGAATGCCCATCAGACAAAGTTAACACTACTTCTCCGTGGACTACTACAGGTTTTTCCTATTTTGTCAAGATCTAAAAGTTTTACATTTCCAGGCAAAGAGTAGCTAATCCTTTACTAGCACTTGATAATATTTTGAGCTTGTGTTAGGATACTCAAATATCACATATATGCATTTTATTGAATAAAATCCAACATAATATCCAGGTCCCAAGAATCCTATAACCACAAAAATAAGTCCCTGCTTATATGATGCAATCAGAAACAATGCCAGATATAATTTAATCAATTGCTGGAGCAAGAGCTTGAGAATTGTGACATGGATTTTGTCCCTGACTCTGCAGCTTGGTATGATCTGGAGAATCATTGTACCTTGTTACATTTCATTTTTCAGACCATCATGTTCAAGATACTAACGTTTCTTATTTGGGAAACTATTCTGAAAATCTCATGGAAAATAAACTGATTAAATATAGCTTTATGATTCTAATTTAAAAATCCATTTTATCTTAAGTAATTTTTTTTATTTTTATTTTTTTACTGTGAGAGTGGTTGAACACCAGAACAAGTTGCTCAGACAGGCTGAGGAATCTCCATCCTTGAAGATGTTCAAAACACAAGTGGAGAAGGTCCTGAGCAAATGCATCTGGTTGATCCTGCTTTGAGATGGACTAGACAATCTAAGGAGGTTTTTCTCCAGTATCCATTATTCTGTGATTCTCTAACAAACACGTGTATTTTTGAAACACTTTGGTGTATTATGTTTTTTACACATAAGCATAGAAAAATGGACATGGAGACACTTGGACTTCTAGCTTCAGGTTCTCCACCCTGACAAGTACTGACTTTGTGTAATCCTTCTCATAAATGGATCAGGCTCCATATTGCCCTTCATTAGTAAGGAAGAAGTCTTTTAGTTTTCTGAATTGTTATCTGTCCTTGCATGGTTTCAGAGTTATTACTATAACCATTCAGAGTTACTGCTTCTCATTGTGCTGCCCTCATGAATAGCCTAGCTATACAGAGGATGTTTTGTGAGTGGAAAATACAGAGACCCAAAAGGAGTCCATGCACAAAACGCTGTATTGCTTAACATACAAATATACACAAGTACGCCTTCAAACTCTGCATATTTACATATTAGTAGATATTGCTAGCTCAGTGCAATTTTAATAGCACGAAATTTCGGGGAAAGATATCAATTAGCTTACTAACATGCTGTAATGTACTATGATCACTGAATATTATGTATGCTTCGTATGTAAACGATGCTGAATTTGTCAGGTGTTTCCCCTTAAGAGAATTTTTCAGTCATTTCAGTGTTTTCTATCTTGTCTTGCTATTTATGGATTCTTTATAAGGATTCTCGTGCAGACTGTCCACATAATACTGATAAAACTTAACCCAACTTCCTTTAACTGGCACTGCCCAAGTTTCAAGTCCCACGTTGCATTACAACTTCTAACATTCTTAGGTATTCACACAACTTTATTTTTTGCTTAACAGAACAAAGCACTTGAGTTATCCTCTTCACACTTCCGTTTCTACCCACATAAAAATGAGACCAAAACCCAGTGTCTCTTACCATGGATTCTTACCTGATGTTCAAGATATACAGGAATATAAGAAAATAACACTTGTCATTTGCTCCCACTTAATGTATATGATGACTTCCTAAATCTGTTGAAAACAGTTGTGCTGCCAATTTTGAAAGAGAGTTCCCATATGAAATTTATTTCTACATGATCTACACTTTCCCACATGTAGATCCCATTTATTTTTATCACTAGGCACAAAGTTAGCAGATCTTTTGGTTTTAAAAGGACTGTTCGGGTACCTTTCTATTATCTATGACCACGTCAGGTGCAAGAACAGCATTTGCAAACAAGAGAGAGCAGAACATGGAAAGATGTTATTTTTAGTGTCTTTGGGAGGTGCTGGCAAAGAACCAATATGTTCAGCCAAAGACAAAGCCATCTTAATTTTCAATATAGGAAAAGACACAACAATGATTAGCTTCAGTCCTTTTTGCCAGACATGGTTCAGTTTCATAAAATGAAACCGTAAATGATACAACAGGATGGCAAGAGGAACCAGAAGGAGAGGTGAACAGCTGTGGAAGGCACTCAAAATCGTAGAGGTCAAAAGAACACTTCCGTTCATTTCCATGTTCTTTGAGTGAGGTCCTACATAATCATTTATGCTCCAGAACAAGTATGTGTTCTGGTAAAGCATCCTCTACAGTGGCTGTTATGTGGCTGTGACAATAATTCATGGAAAACATACCTTTGCTGACTCACACCAGAAGCCAATTCTGAGCCACTTCTATCTGGTAAGTCTTACTCACTACCAGGTTTTCTTCTTGCTCTTTTCAATGACTGCTGTTACAGAACACTGCTTGTACTGGTTTAGGGAAACACTGTTTTGACAGCGAAGTCTCCTCTAGCAGGGTAATTTCCGTACTTTCTTCTTTTCTGACATTCACATACACTGTCTCTGTTCCTTCTCCTATGATACACCATCCCATGCCTTCATTCTTCAGGCAGTTTTTTCTCCATTGCTTTTTTCTCACGTGATGTCAAGCTGACTGCAATGAGTTGATCCTCATGCTTGCATGGAAATCTGTTAAAAATCAATAAACCACAGGAATCAGCTCACAGAACCAGGGCGCACACTATACCTAATATGAAATATTTCCCATCAAAATTAACTGACAAGCACCTACGTACTAAACAACAGGACTTATTTTCTAAGTCCAAATAGATAATGACACACATACACAACTGCACTATATGGATTCCCATATGAATTATTAACCATGATAGATATTTGTCTTCTTCCATGCATCTTAGTTGGCATGCATTTTTCCACACACTCTTGGTCAAAGTTTCATTTTTTCCCTTCCCAGAAGGGAGCAATATTATATTGGCCATACTTACAAAAACAGAATCTGTTGTGTTTGTGGGAAGTAAAGATGGTTTTCAGGACAGCTGCTATAAAATATCCTTTCAACACCCAAAAGGTTCTCTTCTGTGGCATTTGGCGTACACTAACAAGTAACGTCACTGTGTTTTCTATATATTATTGTTTGCTTCATTATACTGTGTCATTTCAGATTCTGTTTCAAAAGCTTCCTCTTGATGAGAGGTAATTGCACGTTATAAGACCAAAGAAGAGTTTGGAGGAAGATATTAATTCAGCATCAGAATCAAGTGATCACAACTACTTGTTTGCTTTCAAAGACAGCACGGCACAGTGCTTTTCCCAAGTTTACTTCTTGTCACAAAATATTTAAATCAGTTGTTAAAAAAATAAAAATAAAAAATGGTGCTTTCCTACTTTCCTTTCACGTTCATCTATTCTCTGATTTTTAGGTACTATCTCTATGGTAAGGACCTCCTCGTCTTAATTGGCAACTTCTTACATGACTTATCTTTGATAATTTTCCTGACAGCTTCCCTGGGATATTCTAGCTCTTTCAGCCCCAAGAACCACACAGCATCAAAGCACCAAACCCTAGGAAATCCATCATGTTGCCTATCACCCAGGCAGAACAGTGGCGTCATAACTGACTCTCCTCTTCCTGCTGTAGATACTCACCATTTCCTGCCAGCTCTTCCTTCATGAATTCACTAAAACTTTCTTTCATTTTCACCCTGACTGACGTTTTTTTGTGTTCTGGTCATCCTTCCTTCTTGGGTTTGGCTGTGTTACTGTACTCCCTGCTTCACATCCAGTTGCTGCTACTAAAATATTCCTTTTTTTTTTTTTGTACAGTCAAGGCTTTACACAGCTTTCTCCTTGCATTCACCTTTGTTTCCTTGTCCTTCTCTCCCTCCTCTCACTCATGCCTTGTTTTCACTCTTCTCTCATTTAATTTTAATACCTCCCTGCCACCTAATACAGGATTTCTCTCGACTCCTTTGTTTTCCAAATTATTCTCTCCCATCATCTGGCTTCCTCTTGAAGACACAATGCAGTCCTTTACAGTGACTTTTCATAGAGCTTGCTGCCAAAATGCACTATCAGACTGTACGCTCCTAAGGGAAGTGTATTAGTGACTGCACAATATCTGTAGTATTTGCATGGCACTGGACAGACTGACTAAACAATCAATAACAAATCAATGGCACAACTATGATAACAGTATTTTAGCTTTCTGAAATACAGTAGTTTAGGTTTTAAGTTTATTCAATCTGAGAGATAATTCCTGTAATTAAAGTAGTGGAAACCAGAACATCAACCAAACCAGAAGAAGTGTTCAAATGTGACGTATCGCACTTGGAATGTCTCCCTTGCTTGCATTACTCTCTTGGGATGGGAAATAAGAGAAGGCGGCAAAACAATAAGAGTAATGAATAATCACATATTTAGCAAAAAACGTTCAGTTTACAGTTCGTAATTTGTGCTGCAAAATCCAGATTTTTATAACTTCATTTTATAGTACAGATATTGATGTTTAAAGACAATTAAAACTGGTAAATATTTACTTCCAGAAAATCTCTCACCAGAGATTTTTTTCAAAAAATAGGTAATAAATTTAATTATTTCTACTTTTTCCAGAAGACTCAGAGATATTAGAGACCTGATGGACAAATGAAGGTCAGTTGGATTTTTTAAAACTTAAAACCTTATCTTCTGCTAAACGGCAGGGAAATACACTGAAACCACAATTAACTTTTCCCGTATTTGACAATTGCAAAAGCCCTCCTTTTGCTCCTCACTATTGACTCACACACCACTGCATCCCAAGAGACTGTGTACTCTACAACAAGGAATGAGTAATCAGGAAAAAGATGTTTCCCCTCTTCAAAGTATTTACTAAAGCATTCATCTTTTCAAAACTCCCAAACTAATATTTGTTTGGGTTGTAAATCTTACGGCAACACTATTGACAGCGTTAACATAATCTAAACACCGTGCAATGTAAACACACTTCTCAAAAATATAGACCACCAGCTCACAGATATTTCTTCCAACATGGTGCAAGGTTCGTTGTTCTAATTTTAGTCGTCTGAGAGCAAAATAGCACCAAAGCCCAGAAAGAACTGTCTGATTATTAGACCTGTCTTGAAAGAGAAGACGTATATTCTTCTACAGCTTGGGATGGGACATTCTTTAATTCATTCACGACATCTTTGGAGAGAGCTGATACTACAAGGACAGGCAACAATTGAAAAGAAGGGATATTAAAGAGCATATCTGAAAAATGACTCACAGGGCTTGACTGCCATTTTGTTTACTGCTGAAGAAAGCAGCAAAACAGTAGATGTAATAAAACAGGTTCTAAAGAGAAATGTATTAAAATGTCTACTCATCTACTTACTGAAGGAATATTTTGCTCAATGAGGACCTGTGAAGAGGTGATTTGCTAATGTAAAAATAAAATTCAGTTTACTATAAGACACAACGTGTTTCTCAAGATGAAACCATGGGGTGTGATTTTTAAGTAATGCATTTATTACAAATTAAGAACTTCTTGCTACACTAATTGCTAAAAAATGTCTAAAGGCATGAGTAGTTTACAGTATTTATTAATCCTTTCAACATTTTACTCTTCAATATCAAATCTCAAAAATCCAAATATTGCCAGCAAATTGACAAGCCGAGAAAAATCCTCCAGTTACTTTAGTTAAGACAACAGGTACATTTTATATAAGCAGAGTTGCTTGTCCTTAGGAATTCAATGTTATTGCACCATCCCGTAGACCACATGAACCATAAATGTCTTTAAGCTCCAAACTACTATAAGATAGGTTTTATTGAACTGTAAGTCAATACTAAACTGGTTAGCTGGCAAGTTCATAATCACCAGAGGTAATATTCACAATTCAGGAGATTGGGTCAATCAAAACCTATATGTGCATGCGTTATTTCCTACTTTCATGACAAAGGGTGACAACGTTAAAAATATCCAATATCAATATTTCAAGAATCCTCTCAGTTCGAAGAGTCTTTGGCTCTACCCCACTTGGAACTTGCTGGAATTGGGGATCATAAATGAAACTTCACAAATAATTCAGTGCTCCATACCAGCGACATATATTAACCATACTCAAGCTTACTAAATTATCCTCAATAACTAACTCCAATCTGCTACTCAGATAATAGTGTGGACGCTGCCAAGTCTCACATTAACGTGGAATACAATGTTACAAGAAGGACTGAATGCAAAACATGAGAAATGCCAATAAAATGAAGATGAACAAAAGCCACAACCAAGCACAGCATCACTCCCAAACTCTGGAGCAATGACTACTAGTTGTACATCAGTTACTAAGGTGAAAACATGGAGTATAAGCCAGTAAAAACTACTACAGCAGGATCTTCGTGAAGCTAAAACGTGAGAGGTGACCAGAGCAAAGCCCAACGTCACTCCTTCATATCAAGAAACCTAATATTGAGGACGCTCACACTTTACCTGGTGAAACATCTCTCTCACAACGTACAGCCATGAAACCGCATGAAAACGCCTTGCTACTTGAGAAACCTCCAGAGGAACGGAGCCCTTTCCTTCACGGAGCACCTTCGCGCAGATGCGCCTCATGGAGGCCACCTGTGCTGGGCCAGAAGGAGACCATGGCGTCTCCACGCGGGCAGCCCCACAGTGGCAGCACTTGAGGAGGACACCTCTGAGGAGAAACCCAGAAGGTTCTGAGATGGAGGCGGCCGCCAGCTCCACGCTGCGTTGGAGGGCTGGATACCGCATGCCCCTGCATGAATGACCAAGCGGCGGGAGGTCGGCGGCTTCCATTTCCTGGAGCGGGCCAGCTAATTTGTAAAATGGCTGCAAGGGCGCGGGGAGAAGGCTCCTCACCGCCTGCTCCAGGGCGGGGGCAAGATAGGGGCCAGACCCCTGCCATCCTCCACGGGACTACAACAGGGGGGCGAGGGGTACCGTCGGAAGGGACCCCGCCACCTCCATTTTGCTCGCCGACGGCCGCGGGGTGGGTGGGGCGGCCATGAGGCGCCGAGGGGGCGGGAAGGTGGCGGCCGGGGCCGCCCGAGGCTCCCCGCACACCGCGCCGTGACCTTGGGCGGGCGGCGTGGGCCCGGCCCGCCGCGCCGCCTCTGGTTCCCCCCCCCCCACACACTTCCATTTTTATTTTTTTTTAATTATTAATTTATTTATTTATTTATTTTGGCCGCGGAAAGAGTTTGAAGCGCTCCCGGCTCGGAAAGAAGGAGAAAAGGGGCGGGGGGTGAAAGGGGTGGGGGGGGGAGGAAAGCAAAAGAGGAGGCCGCCCTCCGAACGGCCCCGGGACTTTCCCTGGCGGGGGGTAAAGGGGGAGCCGTGCCGGGGCCACCCCCCGGGCGCGTGAGGGGGGAGTCGGGCGAGGCCGGGGAGGGGGGTGCGAGGAGGTGGGTGCCGGCCCCGCCGCGGGGGAGACGCGGCTCTGGGCGCTGTGCGCCCGAGCTGCTGCCGCCGCTGCTGCTGCTGCTGCTGGTGGTGGTTACGCCAGCCCCGCCGCCTGCCTCTCTGCCTCTCCTCGCCTCTGATTCTGCGCACAGCCAGCCCCGAAGCCTGTCATTCTGCAAAACACAGTTTACTCAACAGAGAGAAGGGGGAGCGGGAGAGGTGGAGAGAAGGGGAGACGGCGCGGAGGAGCCCGGTCCCGCACCCCAGCATGGCTTCGGGGGACCTCTACGAGGTAGCGGGGGGCCGCGGGGCGGGCGGGCGGCGGGGGGGCGCCGTGGAGGGCAGCGTTTGGGAGCCCCCTCAGTTCCCGAAGAGCGGAGGAAATCGCCGAGGGAAGGGCTGGGGTGGGGGGAAAAGGGCTGGCGTGTGTGGCGGGGGGGGGGGGGAGGGATGGAGCGGCTGCCCTCCCTTCCCTCTGCCTCTTTCTCTTTCTCTCTCTCTACTTTCCATCGGGCTCGGTCTTAGCAGGCCTTGCGAGAGGGAAGGAGGAAGGAGTGAAGGAGAGCGAGAGTTAGCGGTAGGATGGGGAGGTGATCGCAGTGCGATGAGCCCGGAGAGTGGAGAAAGTCCAGGTAAAGTCGCAGGCGCTCTGGACGTGCTGAATGTGCAGATTAGTGCGAAAAAATGCGCCCTGGCGCTGCCGGGAGGCGCAGGGATGGAGGCGGCTCCGCGCCCGCCGTGCAAAGTGCAGGAGCCGACGCCAGGTCGCCTCACCTCGCCCCCGGGGGGCGGCGGCCGGGGGAGCGGGGCTGGACGGGGCTGTGTGGGGCTGTATGGGGCTCTGCGGGGCCGTGCGGGGCTCTGCGGAGCTCTGCGGGGCGGCCCCGGCCCCGCCAAGTTGTTTGCGGCCCCGCTCCGGCCGGGGGGCGAGGTGAGGTGCCCCCGGCCCCCCGCAGCCCAGGTGGGGGGCTGGACGGGGGCAGGAAGCCGGCCCCGGCCGGGTTTTGGCCTCAGGCAGCCAGTTGTAGCGCCCGGACTCCTTGGACGAGTCTGGCCGCCCTGAGCGTGCCAGAGAAGAAGGGAGGAAGCAGGGATTAAAAAATGAGAGGGAGCGGACCCCAGGTGTGTTAAATACCCAGCGCTGGCAAATGGAAGCGGCGTGGAGCTCTGCCAGCCAAGCACAGCAGAAAGGACTGAGTGTCCCACGCCAGATCTTGGTCTAGAGCACCCCGCCGGGCTCCACGACTGCTGGTGACATGGCCACTCGTGCCCTGGGTGTCCAGAGCGCGTGGCTCGAGGGCTGGGAGCCGATCACCTTCCAGTCGGTGCTCAAGCGCTGCCAAGGCATCGCCGTGTGCTTGGGTGTGCAGCAACCGCTGCGGCGGACGTGGTCAGACTTTGAGTCCGGTTGGTGATGTGGTGGTGTAGGTCCTCAGAGCGAGAACTGGAGGATCCGGCAGGTTTCGTGTAGATGTGTTGTGCTTCATCGTGGTCTCTCAGAGTCCCTGACAAAGGTCGTAGTTACGGGATGACACTGCTCTATTAGGACTTTATTTTACTGAGTGGGACACAGACCTTTGAAGTGGAAAGCACTTATGCTCTCCTAAGTGGTGTTAAATGATCAGAAGCACATGATGATTTGAATAGTACCATTGACCTTTTCCCCACCATTTTGCGATCTCTGTCATGTTACTTTGTAATTTTAAGGCTATTGCATGTCAACTGTATTGCAGTCAGGGCTCCAGTGTAGCCAGTGGGAGTTCTGTGAAGAACAACTTTGACCAGAAAAACTTAGTGATACAATTTTGTATCAGTAACTTCTGGGATGTGTAGAGGATCTCTGTCTGGTCTTGCCTCAGTTTTCATGAGATGTTTTGGTTAGCTCTGAAAAGAAATAAAATAATACCTCTTGGGTTAATGGTAGCCACACTGTTTTAGCTCCTACTCATTATTTTAAAAATCTACTTTTTTTTTTAAATATTCTTTGCCTTATTAGAAGGTGATGGCATTTGGCAGTTGGATGTGGGCTGTGCGTTGAGTACTGCTGCTTGGCATACGGGTGGTGTTGCTCAAGCAGTAGCCTGGTGTGGAGGTGTTCTGCGGGAGGGCAGGCTCGGAGCCCAGGTTGCAGGCAGTTTTGTGCCCCGTACTCTGCAGGCATTCGTATGGATGAATGTGAATTGTTAGTGTTGTGGTCTGAAGGCTCTGAATCACTTCCTTTCTTTGTTGCTTCAAGTGAACTACTTTTGCTTATCTTTGTGTCATGTGGTGGAATTGTATCCACCAGAACAGGTAAGTGGGAGCATGGCTATGCCTTTCTTGTTTGAGGTGTCTGAGATACAACCTTCTCAGCTGGTCCTGGTGTAAAATCTTCATCTGCATTTCGGACATGTTGGGGAAAAAGTATGTGTAGGTCTTAGGTTATCAGCCCAGCTACATTTCGCATCTCCGCTGTGAAGTTCTCCATAACTGAGGGCATAGGAAATGTCAAGAAAGCTGGAAGAGTTTGTATGTGTAACAGGTCACAAGTTTGCAGATTGTGGCTTCATTTTAAAAATGACTCAGTATGGCCTCCCTCCACCTTCCTGTCCCCAACCAACCAACCTCATCAGAGGCACACTTTAGAAAGAACCTCTTAAAACTGGGATGTTCTGTACCAGTTCGCAGATGAGATGAAGTGCTTTGTGTCTTCACAAATAGCTGACACCTATCTTGCTTGGATACACCACTCTTTTCTGTCCTCCTGCACAAGTAAAATTTTATGTGGATGACCCCTGAACAACTTCAGGACTTCAGCTTGAAATACATTGGGGCTGTTGGTATAACAGTGACGTTGGGCTTATGGTAACACCCCCCAGGTGTACTACACTTCTGATTCTCTTTTGACTCTGTTAGTAATATCTGAGTCCTTCAAGGATTCTTACTGAACCTCAGCAAACAAGTCAACAATAATGAATACCTCTGCAACTGAGAGTCTTTAATACTGGCTGCACAATTATGTTTGTTACAGCCAATCTTGATTTAGGAGTCATGATAAAGCAGATTTTAAAAGTACACTTTGTATTACTTCTGCTAACTTCTTGTATGTTGGTGATGCTCAAGAAACTTGAATTTAAAATTTTAAGTTTTGGAAATAGATGTTCATATTAATCCTGTCAGGTCATCAATTATTTTTTTTACTGCTATGTTCTTTTAAAAACCTTTTTAACCTTTCCAATTTAAAGATGAATTCACCGGGTATCTGTATATTAATGCAAATTAAGACCACAGATGAAATAACCTCAGTGTTTAGTTAACTGGGTGCCTTTCTCCAATTAAAAATAACTTCTGATCACCTGAAATACCTCTGATTAAATTTGTTTTAGAACCATAATGCAGTTCCCAATTTATTCCAGAAGCTAAAGAACACCCATTGGGAGTTCTGTTTACTGGTAGTCAGTCCTAGATTTGTGTATTAGAACCAAGACACCTTACATCAAAAGAGAGTTACTTCCATTAAATGTTAGAAGGTTGGTATTAGTTTCAATGTTTTTATTTTTAAGTAACTATATATTTATTTTCCTTTAACAGTAACAAATGTATATGTACTTCAGTGTAATTTCCAGGCTATATAAATTACTAGTTTTGAATTGCTTGAATTCCATATTCTTATGACTTCAAGCTTTTGTGGGCAGGTAAGAGCCATGGAATATTCTTTTTTTCTTCTTCTTTCTTGTCAGAGATGACCTGTTAAATATTAAAGAGCTATGCTGCATATTCCTTAGAAATAGCAAACTAAAAATAAAGGACTCACAAAAGGGTATTTATTCATAGTGGCCTTTAGGAAGACAGCCCTATTTTGCTTTATGATTTAAATACATTGTTGGATGTGTTGATAGGAAATCCTTTTCAATTCTGGTAACCAACAGAAAGGGTAATGTATTTATTCTTAAATACCAAATTTGTTGATTCACATTTAAGTTGTTGTCAGTGACTTGAGGTAATATTTTGTATTCTCCATCTTGAATTTAGTTCCCACATTATCTTAACACAAATACTTCTTTCACAAAAGTTCTGCTATTAAAAATATGTAAGATGGCTTGAAAGGAAAAAAAAAATCAGTATGAACAGTGTACCTAAGTTTATTTTTCCTAACATGGAGCATCCTGCTTAGTGCAATAAAATTTTATTTTATTGATGAATATATGAATCAGTTATCAGTATCATAGAGATGCTCATGAAGCTGACTTTGATGCTCTTCTTTATTTAATATTTTGGGGTTTTGTATATAATAAACACAATTAGACATTCAGTGACAACGATGTTGAAATCTGAAGTCTTCTTTTAACATGGTGTCAGATTATATTACACCACTGTAGGTAAGTGATCTAAAGATTATAGCTCAGTCTCTGAAGGGGACTGTCACATGCATATATTTCTGGATCACAGTAATAAAATCATTCTTTAAACTGAGCAATTTTTGCATTAAAGTGTTGCTCTGTTTGGGAAAGTGATGTTTTAAAAAATGCTGTCTTCTTACTGAAATGCTACAATGCCCATTGGAAGGAGGCTCGTCCACCTCAGTGACAGGTTTCAGTTAAATCTTAGCTGTGTAAGAATGAGCCGCCGTTTACTTTAGCTTATGTGATCCACCAGAAAGATAATCTATTTCCAGGTGAGTTGCAACATCTCTCACTTATACTTACACTCAGGTACCAGCAAAGTCAACACTTGAAG